CTCGCCTACGAACTGTTGACGCCCTCACCACCGGTTCAGCTGGAGCCTGCGCCGGCGAAGCCGCCGGCGGTTGGGCCCGGACACCGCGGCTGGACCGACCAGGAGTAGTCGGCATAGCTGCCGCAGCCGCAAATGTGCGCGGTGCTGCTTGACTCCCTGCGAGTGGGGGGCGGAGGATCCTGCTCTCCAGCACGTCAAAACGCTGCTGGAACGCAGCCATCTCCCGCCGCACCAGGCCGATTATGTCGGCCTCCACTGGCTGCGAGGCTCGGGGTCGACCCTCACGAGCAGCGGCGAGCTCGGCCTTGGCTGATCGAAGCTCGGCCTCCATAGCCGCATTGGAGGCTGTCAGCCGGATCATTTCTCGGCGCATCTCCCCCAGCTCTTTTTGCAAGGCGGCCATCTGCTGCCCTGCCGCTGAAGGCAGCCCACACTGTCGAGCTGCTTTCATAATGGCTGCCTTCGCTTGCCTTAACACTCCGTTTCGGCCCTTCTCGGACTTCTGCCCAGCCACCGTCCGGAGTGTTTCTTTGACCACCTTGAAAGTTCGCCATTTATGGCACCAAGGTCGCCTACCGAGCCCTCGCCGCCAGATTCTGATGAGTCAGCTTCAGCTGACTCGGCCCGAGTAGCGGCCATCGGCCTCTCGCAGCCCTTTCTTCGACCCCTACCCCGCGCAGCCGTAGGGATCTTAGGGGCTGGAGCCTCCTGCTCGTTGGAGGACGGATCCCGGCCCTCCTTCAACCTGGGACGTTTAAACGTCCCCTTTTTTTGGCGCTGTGAACTCAAGCTACGCAATGAGTAAGCGCCAGATGCGGAAGAGTAGTCAGACTCTGCTTCCGACATCCTCCGACTTAATGCCCGTGTGAGGGATTTGCTGGACGACTCCAACGCTTCCCCACGGGTTCCAGAGCCACCCTGGCTCTCCCCGCCAACAGCAAGCGAACTAAGCTCGCTTGCCCTCTCCTCCTCCGGTGTTTTATTTTTATTTTTATTATTAGACTCCATACAATTCCCACGAGTATGGGGGAAATAAACGGTCCGCCCAGGCAGTGCCCCCTGTACCTGGGTAAGTGTATATTTGTTTCCCAACTAGAGGGTCCACCGGTCCTAGCTGGGGGTGCGCTCACGACTGACACTACTCCTCAGCCATGCATACCCTCGCCGCGCACCAGAACTTGGTATTGGAGGAATTTTTTATAGAGGTTATCTTCCTCGCGGTCCGGGCGACCAAGCCAAGACCCTCGTCCCGTTCTGAGTCATGAGACATCCATGATCTTTCGGGTTACGATTTCGACGGTTGCAGTCGAGGACTCATGTGTCCCGATGCTGCTCGTTGGCAGGGTGAGTGCGCAACGAGCACCGCCCTTGCCTCTCCGCCACGTTCTCTGCTAAGTTCAGAGAGACGGGCGGAAAAACATCCCCTCGGAAGCACAGGCTATATATCAGCACACAGCCCGCCGCCTCCAGAACCCATCCTGGGTTCGTCCGCCCCGTCCAGAAGTTAGCTACAGACAATAGCCACTCCAACCCTATCACTCCCGTTAGGGAGACTATCACCTGTACCCAGGGTGCACCACGGGGAGGTCTTCTGGCACCGCACCCCAAATAAAATTTGTGCCTGCCATTACATACGAAGGTTGCAAGCCTTTCGGTCTTCTACCGGATATATTTTGGTGAATGTGCGGGGGAATTGCACAACTTGATTCCCCCTAGACCTTTTCATCATCGTACTACAAGACAATCAGCGAAGCGTCACCGCTTCATGCATGATAGATGTCCCACCTACACCCACGAAGTGCTTCGCATTAAGTTTCCTTGTGCGTACTGCTAAGGAGTGGAATTCTTTGCCAGAGTCTGCATTTCCTGAAGGGTTTCTTCAAAGTCCGAGTGAATAGGTTGCAAGAGACGACGTGATCCATCGTAGACCGCATCATCGCTTACCACCAGGCGAGATAGAGGTCAAACGTCGGCCTATCAAATAAAAAAAAATTGTACCTGTTCCAATTATACCTGTCTTTCAAAATTAAAACTCAACGACTCAGGTAATCGAAATAAAAGAAATATTTGACGCTTTTACACAACATTTATTGAAGCTTAAATATATTTTTGACACACTAAAATATATCACACTTTCATTTTATAAAAAGCAATTAATTTATATGATAAACAAAATTCAATGGCTTGAGTTGTATCACCCAGGTAAACAAATTGGAATAAACCTTTGTAACAACTCTGATACATTCTTACCCTTACAGGTGATACTTAGCACTAAGAACTAAAGCTAAACTAGATTAACATACAATCTACTCCAAAATGAATTTAATATAGGCATTTCATAATTACCGAGTTTTAAAATATGAAACTATAAAAAAATTACGAAAGCTGACAATAGGTAGATTTATAAACTCTATAAACCCAAATAAAGTTTTCACACTCTTGTGTAGTCTCAGTATCTCTATACAACATTAACAATTACATATTATTATGTTTTCGGCTTACTTACGTAACTGTTTGACGAGGAACTCGACTAGTTTCAAGCCATGCTAGAGGCTCATAATTATAAACATTAACAATAACATCACAATTAACTATGATTTAGTCTAAAATATAATTATCATAAAATTAGACCCCAAACCACTACAACTAACTGTACTATAAGGTACAACAGCTTTGGACAAATAGTTTCAGCTTACAATAACTATATGGCAGTTCCACGCTCCAAGTTCTGTTTAATTTCAGCTGTATGCTCTCCGTAAAATCTCTCCAGTTTCTTGTTGAAATTAGCATTTCTCTGGTTAATGTAATCAATATCTGCATCGTCATTGTGTGCACGTCTCCTAGAGTAACGAGCTCTCTTGGCAATCTGCCCTTCCAGGTCATCAACCATCTTGTCGACAGCTTCTCTCCGGTCCTCATGCATCCCATGAATGATAACATTAGGTCCACCATAGAAAGCATCGCCATACTTCTGTTTCTGTTTCTCATACTGTTCCATATCAGCTGCTGGCATATTTTTAACCAGCCTGTTGTATTGCCTCACGGTTGCTTGTTCATATGTGGAGAATCCTTCATCAGGATTCTTCTTTTTACGTTCAAGTCGCTCAGCCTCTACGGCTGATATGTTTAATAGTTTCACTCTGTCGTAATCTTTCCCTGCTTTCTCTGCCTCTTGACGCTTTGCTTGGTCGTCGAGCAGCCATTCAGCTTGTCGTCGCTTCGCCTCGTAGTTCGGCGGCAGCTTATTCCTGGCCTCCTCAGCAACTACTTCTTGATGGTTGTGCGTCCTTGCTTCATTTCTAGCAGTGTGCAGTGATCGCAATCTTTTCATGCGATCCATCTGTCTCTCAGCAAACGACATCTCTTTGGGGGCCGATGTAGATTCTTCAGTTGTGGCACTCATTGTGTTACACGCAGTTTTGGTATATTAAAATAGTACACGAAACTTTGAACTTTTCTTTCGACACAATAGATATACTAAAACGCCTCGACACACGTCTTCACTGGTTGACGAGCAGTAGGGTACTGACACTACCGAGCGACCAGCCGTTGTATTGTCGTCGCTTGCTACTTGTTGATGACTCATCCGTGAACGGTTTATGGGCTTTTAGTTCTAAGAATTGCTAATTACATCTATTGTTCCTTGTGTGCTTTTTATGATTCGGTGTAGGTACACCGGTACACGCACGTCTGCTATGAAGGCTATGATAAGTCGTGAGCTACGATGGCATAGGAATTACTGTAAACTTGATTCTTGTAAAGGAGTCATTTATCAGAAAACGTTGTCAAAAACTCTAATCTGACAGTATAAGTAATAAGACCGCCTACTATTCTGTTTAACTTTATTTAAAAAACCTATCGTGTTTATTAAATAAAGTTTATAGTTTTATTATATATATATATATAAGATTTTTGATTTGTTATTGACGAAATTAGTAAAACCATTCTTAATTCAAATTTAAACAGAACTTATGCCAGAAATAGATAATTCTATATTAACATCCGCCGTTTCAGTACGCAGCTATTGAAGCATGACCTTACAGCTACTAGTTGTATAATTTAAATATATGCGAAAACTTGTAATTGGCCTTACTTTATTCATAGTTATATATAATTGTCAATTCTAGCTTTAAGTTTTCTAAATGTAAAATAAAATAAAATAATATCTACGTTTATTGCTCAAAGATTTTAGTAAAGGGTGCTCATTAAGTTAATAGCTAATAATTAGTATTTATTCACATAATTATGACTTGATTGATACTGATCATAATAATTGGTCATTGCCTATTGCAACTGTTAATATCATTAGTTAAATATCTACCTAGTAAATGGGTTTATTGACAGGATATAAAATTAAAAATCTATTTAGTCCGTCAATTAGATAATGAAATGTACTCGTTTGAATTAAATAATTATTTTTGTGTTGCTTAGTCCATTTATTGAGAGACGATAAGGAATAAACAAAAGCTTATCTTCATAAGTAAAAATTAACATCAATTTTGTAGCAATTGCTACGCCGCATCTACGGTGCTACGGCACATCGTAGCATTCGTAGCAGAGGTGTAGCTGAGTGAGACGCGAGGGTGTAAACTGAAGCAGATATAAGTTTTATGACTATTTGAAACTAAATCAGAACGGGTCCAGCTCGAACCAAACTTTTTAGTCTTGACTAAACTTGAATGTCAAATTCAATAATGCCCCTATAGTCTCTCATCCTGTTCACACACAAGTAACAATAGACGTAATTAGCAATTGTTAGAACTAAAATACCACAAACTTTTTACGGATGAGTCACCGACAAGTAGCGAGCGATGATAAAATGCAACGGCTGGTCGCTCGGTAGTGTCAGTATCTCACTGCTCGTCAGCCAGTGAAGACGTGTGTCGAAGTGTTTATTGTGCGTTACATTGTCGAAGAAAATTTAAAATCTCGCGTACTATTTTAGTATACGCGAGACAAAATATTGTTTCATTGAAAAAAATTTTTATAACAACACAACAATGAGTTCGCAAGCAGAACGATCATCATCGGTCCCCAAAGACATATCGTTTGTCGAGAGACAAATAAAACGCATCAAAAGACTGCGATCGCTGCACTCCGCTAGAAATCAAGCAAGGACCCACAACCAACATGAAGTAGTTGCTGAACAGACTAGGAATAAGCTGCCGCCGAACTACGAGGCCAAGGGACGACAAGCTGAATGGCTGCGCGACGACCAAGCAAAGCATCAAGATGCAGAGAAAGCAGAAAAACATTACGCCAGAGTGAATTTATTAAACTTATTATCAGCAGTAGAAGCTGAGCGACTTGAATGTAAAAAGAAGAAAAGGAATTCTGATGAAGAATTCTCCACACATGAACAAGCTACTGTGAGACAACACACCAAGCTGGTTAAAATTATTCCAGCAGCTGATACGGAACAGTATGAGAAACAGAAGTATAGCGATGCTTTCCATAGTGAACCTAATGTAACCATTCATGAGATGCACACGGATCGAGAGGAAGCGATCGACAAGATGGTTAATGACCTGCTGGAAGAGCAGATTGTTAAAAGAGCTCGCTACTCTAGAAGTCGAGGGTATTTTGATGATGCAGATTACTACATCAATGACAAAAACGCCAAGTTCAACAAGAAACTGGAATGTGAAGATTGGAAACTAGGAAGATCATACACAAGAGAACTAGGAATCACCATTTAGTTTCTGGACTTTGTAACTATACGAAGCTATTGTAGGTATATATGTATAGTAGTTAGAGTTAGGTGCTTTAGATATAAATTGTATGACAAAGGTATATTTTAAAAATAATCTTTTTGCATGATTCTTAGACTCAGAAATATGTTCCTATTTGTAAATGTTTTGAGAGCTACTGTTACACCTTAAGACTGGAAAGTTTACTTTAGTTTACTCTAGTTTATTTTTTTTATCAAAATTGTATTTTAAATAAGTACCAATATTTAATAAATATTGTATAAATAAGGTAAACATACTTTTTATTTTATCTACAAACCCTTTGTATTAATCTCTAGGTAGGTGAATTTACTAGATCATCTAAATGGCAAACTGTTAATAATGCCATAACCACACTGCGGCGTTGCAACAAGTCAAATGGTTGCTTAGAAAAAATTATAAAAATGAACGCGTCATTTCAGTCCAACGAACGAAACTCAATTGTGAAACCCGATAAGAGTTATAGTTATATAGTTAGTCCGATAATGATTTGAGTTAATGAGAGGAATATCTAAATAACATGGAGTACGGATTATGTACCAACAATATTCCCACGCTCCATCCTAATGTTAACTGGAATATATCGCTGGAGGTAAGTGATAAGGATGACTACTGGTAGCATTGTCTAAAAACTGAAACAATGATATTTGTCTTTGTAAGTAATTCGTGGAACATTAAATGGTAAAATGAAGAATCAAAAGATAAGGATGACTACTGTTAGCATTGTCTAAAAAATGAAACAATGATATTTGTCCTTGTAAGTAATTCGTGGAACATTAAATGGTAAAATGAAGAATCAAAAGATAAGAATGACTACTGTTAGCATTGTCTAAAAAATGAAACAATGATATTTGTCTTTGTAAGTAATTCGTGGAACATTAAATGGTAAAATGAAGAATCAAAAGATAAGGATGACTACTGTTAGCATTGTCTAAAAAATGAAACAATGATATTTGTCTTTGTAAGTAATTCGTGGAACATTTAAATCGTAAAATGAAGAATCAAAATGTGTAGGAACGTCTTATTGAGACGAAGGCAAATACAAATTAGATGCAAAGTACGACAATATGACCGTTGATCGTAGGATTTTAAAATTTAGTAGAATCTGATATACGGAGTATCTGATATATTTATTTATGAAGTTAATAACTTCCGACTGAAAACTTCACTAACGTCAGTCAGCATTGATACCGTTAGCATTATAGAAAGAAAGAAATAAAAACTATTTATTTTGCTACGACACACAACAAGAATTTAGAAACACAAAAAAAAGCCTATGGTGCGTCGCAGCGCAAAAGGCTGGAGCTCAGCTTAATACCGTGGACCGGGCACAGAGGCTCGAGCCCACGATATACATTATATATATTATATCATTGATCATCAGCCATATATTATTTTTAACTGTAGGTACTATTCATCATATTTTTGGAAGCGTTTTCTTTACACTCCGTACATTACCGATAAAACAAATGTAGGTGAACTTTTCAAACGTTTCAGCAAAAAAACCAAAGGAGGCCACGCTACGCCTGCTAGTCAGATATCATGCTTAAAAATAACATTAAAATTACGATTTTACTAATACATACCGTAGGATACAATACGGTAGGTACAAAGGAATCGGCTGTAATTATTTCCAGTTTAGTATTTAGTGTTAGGCTCAATCAATTTACCTTCATATGCCCTGTTCTATACATGTACTTACCTAGGTCCGAGTAGCAGAGTAGTAGGTACGAAGTTTCTGTACTTATTGCGTGGAACTTGATGTAATCCATAACATACCTAACTGTTAAAAGTGGGTTTCACACTGCAATACTGACTTACTGAATACCAACACGCAGTATATAATGCCTTCACTACTCTACCTACCTCTTGGTGATTAATAAGGTGAACATTATTATGTAATGTTCGTTGGAAACAATAGCTTTTCAAAAAGAATAATCGCAAGCAGAAAGGAATTAACCAAATAAAATTTGTGCCTGCCAGTAAATACTAAGGTTGCAAGCCGAAAACCGAAAAGTTTTCTACCGGATACATTTTGGTGAGTGTGCGGGAGAATTGCACAACTTGATTCCCCCTAGTCTTTTTTATCATCGTACCACGAGACAAGTAGCGAAACGTCACCGATTCATGAATGACGTAGATGTCCCACCCACCGTAGATGTCCCACCCACACGCACGAAGCGCTTCGCGTCAAGCTTCCTTGTGCTAAGGAGTGGAATTATTTGCCAGAGTCTGTATTTCCTGAAGGGTTTGACCTGGGTGTCTTTAAGGCCCGAGTGAATAGGTTGCTTATGGGACGACGTGATCCATCGTAGACCGCATCATCGCTTACCACCAGGCGAGATAGTGGTCAAACGTCGGCCCATCAAATATAAAAAAAATGATGACAATTAAGTACCGTTACTTACCTGTCTTTCAAAATTAAAACTCAACGACTCAGGTAATCGAAATAAAAGAAATATTTTACACTTTTATACAACATTTATTGAATCTTATATATATTTTTAACACACAGGAAGATACACACTAAAATTTAAAATACTTTCATTTTATAAAAAGCAATTAATTTATATGGAAAACAAAATTCAATGGCTTGAGTTGTATCACCCAGGTAAACAAATTGGAATAAACCTTTGGAACTCTGATACATTCTTACCCTTACAGGTGATACTTAGCACTAAGAACTAAAGCTAAACTAGATTAACATACAATCTACTCCAAAATGAATTTAATATAGGCATTTCATAATTACCGAGTTTTAAAATATGAAACTATAAAAAAATTACGAAAGCTGACAATAAAGTTAGAATAAAGTTTCCACACTCTTATGGAGTCACAGTATCTCTATACAACATTAACAATTACATATTATTATGTTTTCGGCTTACTTACGTAACTGTTTGACGAGGAACTCGACTAGTTTCAAGCCATGCTAGAGGCTCATAATTATAAACATTAACAATTACATCACAATTAACTATGATTTAGTCTAAACTATAATTATCATAAAATTAGACCCCAAACCACTACAACTAACTGTACTATAAGGTACAACAGCTTTGGACAAAAAGTTTCAGCTTACAATAACTATATGGCAGTTCCACGCTCCAAGTTCTGTTTAATTTCAGCTGTATGCTCTCCGTAAAATCTCTCCAGTTTCTTGTTGAAATTAGCATTTCTCTGGTTAATGTAATCAATATCTGCATCGTCATTGTGTGCACGTCTCCTAGAGTAACGAGCTCTCTTGGCAATCTGCCCTTCCAGGTCATCAACCATCTTGTCGACAGCTTCTCTCCGGTCCTCATGCATCCCATGAATGATAACATTAGGTCCGCCATAGAAAGCATCGCCATACTTCTGTTTCTGTTTCTCATACTGTTCCATATCAGCTGCTGGCATATTTTTAACCAGCCTGTTGTATTGCCTCACGGTAGCTTGTTCATATGTAGAGAATCCTTCATCAGGATTCTTCTTCTTCTTTTTACGTTCAAGTCGCTCAGCCTCTACGGCTGATATGTTTAATAGTTTCACTCTGTCGTAATCTTTCCCTGCTTTTTCTGCCTCTTGACGCTTTGCTTGGTCGTCGAGCAGCCATTCAGCTTGTCGTCGCTTCGCCTCGTAGTTCGGCGGCAGCTTATTCCTCGCCTCCTCAGCAACTACTTCTTGATGGTTGTGCGTCCTTGCTTCATTTCTAGCAGTGTGCAGTGATCGCAATCTTTTCATGCGATCCATCTGTCTCTCAGCAAATGACATCTCTTTGGGGGCCGATGTAGATTCTTCAGTTGTGGCACTCATTGTATTACACGCAATCTTGATATATTAAAATTGTACACGAAACGTTTAACTTTTCCTTCGACACAATTGATATACTAAAACTGCTCGACACACGTCTTCACTGGCTGACGAGCAGTAAGATACTGACACTACCGAGCGACCAGCCGTTGCATTTTATAATCGCTCGCTAATTGTCGGTGACTCATCCGTGAACGGTTTGTGGGCTTTTAGTTCTAAGAATTGCTAATTACATCTATTGTTACTTGTGTGATTTTTATGTTTCGGTTTACACCGGTACACGTCTCAACTACACGTCTGCTATGAAGGCTATGATGAGTCGTGAGCTACGATGGCATAGGAATTACTGTAAACTTGATCCTTGTAAAGGAGTAATTTTTAAAAAAACGTTGTCAAAACCTCCACGCTGACAGCATAGTAAGGCCGTATTACTAATACTTTTCCGTTTAACTTTATTTAAAAAACTTATCGTGTTTATTGTGTTTATTAAATAAAGTTTATTATTTATTAACTTGTTTATTATTTTATTTGCTTGATTTATTATTGACGAAATTAGTAAAACCATTCTTAATTCAAATTTAAACAGAACTTATGCCAGAAATAGATAATTCTATATTAACATCCGCCGTTTCAGTACGCAGCTATTGAAGTATGACCTTACAGCTACTAGTTGTATAATTTAAATATATGCGAAAACTTGTAATTGGCCTTACTTTAATCATAGTTATATATAATTTTCAATTCTAGCTATAAGTTTTCTAAATGTAAAATTAGAATAAAATAAAATAATATCTACGTTTATTGCTCAAAGAGTTAAGTCATTAAGTTAATAGCTAATAATTAGTATTTATTCACATAATTATGACTTGATTGATACTGACCATAATAATTGGTCATTGCTGCAACTGTTAATATCATTAGTTAAATATCTACCTAGTAAATGGGTATATTGACAGGATATAAAATAAAAAATCTATTTAGTCCGTCAATTAGATAATGAAATGTACTCGTTTGAATTAAATAATTATTTTTGTGTTGCTTAGTTCATTTATTGAGAGACGATAAGGATTAAACAAAAATCTTATCTTCATAAGTAATAATTAACATCAATTTTGTAGCAATTGCTACGCCGCATCTACGGTGCTACGGCACATCGTAGCATTCGTAGCAGAGGTGTA